AATAAAATAAAATAAAATAAAATAAAATATATATATATATATATATATGAAAGCTCAGCTTTGCCAGACAGAAGTTGTTACTTGGGGTACAAGCTCTCTCTGGGTAAGAGAACTATGGCCCAGAAGCCATCTTTCAGATCCACCTACACAAATCCTGGTACACAAATTCCTGGGGACAGCAAGATAATACCAAATTTTGATCCCAGGTTTCACTGAAATAGCAAGACCCCTCTACTGAGTCACAGCAGCAACCCTTAAATTGGACAGAGACGAAGGAACAGACTTTTCAAGATCTAAAAAAGGCCCTGACCCAGGTCACCGCTCAGCTTTGCCTGATGTCACGAAACCATTTCACAGCCGTGCATGGTGGCGCACAACTGTGATCCCAACACTCTGAAGGCAGAGGCAGGTGGATCTCTGTAAGTTCAAGGCCAACGTGGTCTACAAAGGGAGTTCCAGGCCAGCTGTGGCTACAGGGAGACCCTGTCTCAAAAAGACCAAAAAAAAAAAAAAAAAAAAAAAAGACCATGGCAGAGTCCCACAGCATATTTACCCAAGCACCTAGACCTGGCGACTTGAGGATGGCCATCCTGTCTACGTGCCACGGTGGCCACTGCCCTATTGATAAAGGGTGCTGACAAGCTCACTTTGGGCCAGGTCTTCACAGCTGCCCATGCTGTAGAGACCCTGCTCTGAGGAGCGGATGGCTAATGGATGTCAAACACCGACATCACCCAATAACAGAGCCTGCTCCCCAACTGGCTCCATCTCATCTTCTCAGTTAGTCAGAGCCTCAGCCCAGCAACACTGATGCCTGATGATAACCCAGAGGTGCCCCTGCATAACAGTGAGGATTTGCTGGACATCTCCCAGGTCACCCAGACCTCCAGGACAACCTCCTTCCCTGCTTAAGCAGGCACTGATTTGCTCACGGATGGAAGCAGTTTCATGACTGGGAGAACCTGGAAGGCTGGAGCCATGGTGACCACCTGACAGGATGTCATCTGGACCCAATCCCTGACCTCAGAGCACCTCTGCACAAAAGGCTGAACTGATCACCCTCACCCAGGCTCTACGCTGGGGAAAGAATAAATAAATGGGTGAACATCTTCACAGACAGCAGTTGTACCTTTGTCACCCTTCATGTCCATGCCATGATTTACAAGGAAGAGAACATTTCATTGCTGATGAAAAGACAATCAAACATAAGAAATTCTGAGGCCGGGCATGGTGGCTCACGCCTTTAATCCCAGCACTTGAGAGGCAGAGGCATGCAATGTATGACACAGGTGCACTTACATACATGCAGGCAATACACTCATACATGTAAATAATAATAAATAACTCTTTTTTTAAGTTTCAGAAGGAGGGTTTGACTCCCATATGAAAAGGGCCTCACTCCATCCTTACCACACCAACTGCTGTCAAGGCCCAATGAAATCCCTCCCTAGAGTCACCATTCCTGTGTCAAGCCAGACCCAGACCAGAATCAAAAATGGAACATCAGTCCTGGACCAGACATCTCAAGCTAAGACTCTTCTGATCCATGGACTATACCTTTTTGGCTGCCTTATACCCCTCTGTCCTGCCTCACTCCAAATTTATACTTTTACCCTTGACTCTTTCACAGCAGGAGAGATCCTTTCCAGCTTCAACTGGACCAACCTTCCCAAAAGTACAGTCAGTCCTGTTTAAGGTTTACCAAGAAGGCTTCTTTCCGCAAAGCTGGCTACAAAGTATGGCATGGATTCTCCAGAACAGGGCAAAGGCAGATTTCCATCTATGCCCAGGACAGCCCTCTGACTTCAGATGCCAAGACTCAAATGAAATTTTCTGCCCATACTGGTCTGTGTCACCATAGCCACATATGGGAGTGGGGGCACTATATGATACCAACCTCCTCTCTGTTTGGAAGACCCCACAGATAAGTACAATGACTTGGTTTTTATTTGGGTACAGCAGCCCAACAACTGTATCTGGGGACTTGGGTCCACTTGGGGCCTCCGACTATACCTAGGAGGGAAAGATTCAGGAGTTCTATCATGATCCAATGAGAAGTCATCAGTCAGTGGGGCCCACTGAGGCCAATTAACCCCATAGCCAACTTGGGACGGTTCTCACCCATAATTATCTAAACCTGTCCCCTCTTCTCCGTCTCCACACCATACACCCAGGTAACCCAAGCTTGGTCCCCCACAATCTCCTAGCTTGTTCTCCATGCTAGAAGGAACACATCAACTTCTTAACCTTACTCAGACCAAACTGGCTGAGGACTGCTGGCTTTGCTTAAAATATAAGCCACCCTACTATATAGGCTTAAGGGTAAAAATGCCAATTGTTACAAATAACAACAAATCTACCTGTCCTCTCTCTGCTCCACTGCTAACTAGGAGATATAAGGGGAAATACTTCATGCTTGACCACCTCTAACTAGACCCTCCAGAAATCCTTCGTGGCGTCCTGCTCTCTCATTCTCTCAGGCTGTCTGCCTCCCAAACTTGTTTTCCCCAGATGGGACCTGACTGGCCTGTACTTCTGGACTCACTAGATGCATCACTCTGACAGATTAGATGGGGGGCCAACTCTATGTGTCACAATCCATGTTCTCCCCAGGTATATACCTAGAGTGGCCCCAAGGGCACCCATATCACATTCCCTCCTATCCTAGAGCTCTGCCATAAGCAAGCGGGCCCTCCCACTGCTGGTCCCTGTCCTAGTGGGACTCTGAACAGCCTGATCAACAGCTCTAGGAACAGCTGCTTTGATAAAGGGAGAACTTAGGATGTCCCAAGTGTCCCCACAAATTGCTGCTGACATATGTCATCTACAGTCTTCCATCGATATGTTACGTAAGCAGGTTAAATGGTTGGCTGAGATGATTCTCCAAAATTGGTGTGGGCTAGAATTATTGTTCATGTCCCAGGGAAGTCTATACATAACCCTGGGCAAAATTTGCTGTTTTTTTAACTCTAATTATTTATTTATTTATTATTTATTTATTTATGTGTATGAGTGTTATGTCTATATGTATGTAAATACATACATGTTGTTCAATGCCTGCAGAGGCCAGAAGAGGGCATTGGATCCCTTGGAACTGGAGTTACAGATGGTTGTTAACCACCATGTGGGTGCTGGGTTTCGAACCCAGGACTTCTGTAAAAGCAGCCAGTGCTCTTAACTGCTGAGCCATCTCTGCAGCCCCCAAAGTCTGCTGTTTCGATGCAAATAAATCAAGTCTCATTAAAGATACCTTACAAATGTCAGGGAAAACCTAGATGAACACCAGAAGAGAAGGGACACCAACAGTTTCTGCTTCCTCACTGGGTTCAGTTGGAATCTATGGCTGACCACCTTACTTATAGGTCTGGTGGGACTCTCCTCCCCCTCCCCCTCCTCCTCCTCCTCCTCCTTCTCCCCAGTCTAAATGGTACTGGCTATTAAACTTTCTCTGGGAAATTAATGACAAAATTAACTGATCTGCCCCTGATATGGTATAAACTTTGTTATCTGACTTGCACCTGGTATGATGTTTTTAGCTTTAGAAACCCTGCTCTGTTTCTCCTTGGATGGAGAGTTCTTTCTGGCAGTAGTCTCTCTCAACTGTCAGCTTTTTCTTTTTTTTAATTTTTTTTTTTTTTTTTTTTTTTTTTTTTTTGTTTTTTTCTTGGTCTTTTTGAAGCACGGTCTCCCTGTAGCCCCAGCTGTCCTAGAACTCACCATGTAGACCAGGCTGGCCTTGAACTCACAGAGATCCGCCTGCCTCT